GTAGATTTGACAAACCCAATGCCGTCAATGCAGTGCTCACTCCCTTGGACCCACTGAATCATTTCATAGCCACATCTCTTTCTCGTAACCCTCTTGCTCTTTGCTTTCCGTAAGGTTACTTGGCCTAGGTTTCTCCCTGTTCATTCCTATCTCTTCCATTTTCCTCGCTGCTTCCACATCCCCATTAATGCTTATTCCCTGAACATGCAAGCTCTCTACCAACATTGCCTTTGCTCATTTTCTCTACTTTTCTTTACTTGATGCCAACCTAACTTACTCCTCAGGGCTCCAGACTGCATATTGCCTCCTCTAGGAAGCCTCCATTGATACCCTTCTCCAATCTTAGGCTCTCATATTTGAACCCAGATACAAAAACTTATTGAAAATGCAGCAGGACTTGTGGAGAGGGCTTCACTCTTATAAGAACCCTGGCTCTCATGAAACAAATGATACTATAGCATTTATGATTTACCCCCCCCCCAGTATTGAGCCATATATTCTTTGAGAGTATGATTGGGTGTCAAACTTGTATGTGTATCCCAGTGCTTAGTGCTTTGCCCAGAATACAATAGCTGTCTCTCACATGTCCATCAAACTTACTAAACACCAATCATATTTCTAACTGAGAATTCTTGGCCCTTGAATTAGATCTGATGATTATTTGAGCTTCTTTAAATATTCTTTCAAGCTGGCTTCAAGGACAGAAAAGACTATCAAAGTGTGATTGGGTAAAGCTAGACCAGGCCAAGAGAGCTCCTTGGGAAGTATTGCTGATCTTCAAGTAGACCTGCCCTTGGGAGGATCAAAGAGGGCCATTCACTCCATGTGAATTAAGTCATGTAAGTAAACTTCTACCTGGTCAAGGTCTGGGTCAGCCACGACGTACAATCATCGGAGCAAGTTTTCAAAGCCCTGCGTCTCAAAATTAATTGCTAATTAGGTTATTTATTTTTTGTCTTACTTTACACAAGAGATAAAAGATGAGGGTTGACTGAGGAAGCAAAATAATTCCTGAACGTCGTCTTTGTGCAGATTATCAAATGTACAATTCAAACCGATATTTTGGGATGGGTTTCATTATTCCTATTTAACTGGTAAGAGACTCTTGATCAGTTAAGTGACTGGGCCACAGGCACATAACTTGTACATGGTGGACCCATGAGTCATACCTTGTCTACAAGACTCCAAAGCTCACCCTCTTTCCACTGGAACCCTCTTGGTGCAAGAGCTCAATTTTGCCTTGTAAATGTTCTGGCCTCTCAAGTGACTTGGAATGGCCAGGACAAAACAAAACAAAAACAAACAACCAGTCCCTTCTCAAAAGCACTGTTTTCTGCAGCCCCCAATCTGTTTTCCTGAGAACCAGGACTGAGACAGGAAAAATAAATGATTCCTTGGCAGGAAAAAGGGATTGGTGGGAGGGAGATTCTACCTATGCTTCCTGAAGCCCACTGGGTTTTGCTACCTGGGTAGCTTGCCATTGCAATTATTTGGGATAGCAAAACTGTAATATCAATCAATCTCAGTGCGACTGCTTTGCCATGAAATAGGAGCAGGCCAATTTATCAAAATTGAAGCTCTCCACTGGGTTTATATCACCATTAAACTATCAACAGGAAATCATTAAGGTGAGGCAAGAAACCAACTGGTAACTGAAAAGACGTGATTTTTTAAAAATATCTTTGCTTGCAACCTTCTTTGTTTGGCTGTCAGCAAAGCCACCATGGGGCTGGGTCTCAGATCTTTGTGTTAATGTGCAGTTGGTGGCAGAGAGAACTCAGATGTAGGCATTTGCAATGCAATGGCTGTGCCCAGGTTACTTGGTTCTCTCACAGCAGGGCAAGCTGCGTGACGATAAATAGGGGGGAAATGTGTATGCATTTGTGCGATAAAACAGGCTTAATGATTCTGAAGGGGAAAGAGTCCATGAGACATACAGTAGCAACTTAGGAACAAAATGGAACCATGCAGGGCCAATTAATGTGCAAATACGTGTGTGCTGAACTTGCATTCCATTTATCATGTGGACATGGAAATTGGGCCATTTATCTGTTATATTATGTATGTGACATCTTAGTTTGGTTCTTACAGGCTGCTCGGGGACAAAGGGCCATGTGCTTTGCTGTTAGCAGAGGGAATTTTAGATAAATTCTTCAGCTGTCATAAATATCACTGGGCAGAATTTGGTCAGAAGATAAAGCTCTTTCCTCTGCAGGATTTGAACATTTCTCAATAGTCCATGTGCCATCTTATTAAAACTGTGTGTGGTGCATATGCCATGAAAAATTATTGGCACAAACAGCTTGCTGTCATGTTTTCAAAGTCCAGATTTAGCAAACGTTATTCACATATTCACTGTCAATCTGCAGAGAGAAAGGGAACTGGCAAAGCCATTCTTCCTCACTGATTCTGTGTGTTTGCAATTCATCTTGCTTCCCTTTACCCAGTGTTTCCTCCACAGGTGGGGTTTGTTCTGCTTAAATTACAACTGTTGGTCTATACTTAGGGGGGAAAGAAAGATATGTGGGAAGGAAAAGGACCCCACAAAAGCACTTCTCCAGAGCCACTATTATTTACCTAACAAAACCTGCCATGAATATGGATCATGCACTAAATAATGGTGATTGCTTGCTTTGATGAATTGCCATTAGAAATTCAATTAATAAAATGTTACCTCCCTGCAGTAGTGCCAAAAAATATGGTCTGGCTGCAGCAATTACAATTCAGCCTTATAAACAACTAGAGGCCCAATGCATCAAGTTTGTGCACTGGTAGGGCCCCTAGCGGCTGCCAGCTGCTGGCTGGGGCCTCCCTCCCTTTCCTTGGCTGGCCCTGCCCCCTGGTTGAACTCCTGGACAACTCCCAGTCAAGGGGACAATTTGCATACTATGCTTTTATTATATAGGATGGTTAGGAGACAGAAAAAGTTGGAGTGATTTTTTTTAAATTGCTCTATCTGGGAAATGGGAGTCTGGAGTAAAAATGAATGAATGAATGAATGAATGAATGAAGGTTATTTTGATCCGCAGTTTTGTCTATATACTGAGCATTGCTATACTTCCTCATTTCCTCCATACCACCTGTTCATCTTTCTTTTTCATTATCCTGTTTTATACTTTTGATTGTTTGTGGTTCTTTTTTTTTTTGGCAAGCAGCTTTATTTTTTTCTTAAATACAAATTACCTAATATAAAGTACATCTATCTTACAAGTAGCACTATACATTTAACATGTGATGGTTACCTATGTAACCACATCCAGATGAAGGTATTGCATATTCCCCTCACCAAACAAGTTCTCTTGTGCCTGACACAGACATAACCTCTATTGTTACTTTTATCACCAGAGAGGAGTGTTTTTGCATATGTGTGTAAATAAAACTATACAGGGTGTGTTCTTTCCTACTGATATTTTTTCACCAACACCTCTGAGATTCATACAGGCTGTTTCATATATCTATAGACAATTCTTTTTTATTGTTGTCTTGAATTGCATGAATATACCACAATTTATTTACCTATTATCCCCTTAATGGACATTTGGTTTGTTTCTAGTTTGGGGCTATGATAAATAAAGCTTCTGTGAAAATTATTACATATATTTATTGGTAGATATAAGCAGTCATTTCTCTTGGGCACATAAGTAGGAGTAGAATTGTTAGATCATTAAGCACTATTTCCCCAATGTTTAAAGTATTTCAATTCTCCAAAAGTCCATTTTTAAATCTGAAAAATGTTTATAACAAATATCCTGACATTGAAAAGAGGCGACATATGTAAAGGTGTTTAATTGTTGACTGCTTGCTTTAAAGAGCCAAATGTGGTACAAATCTGAAACTTCCTAGGGCAGCGGTTCTCAACCTGTGGGTCGAGACCCCTTTGGGGGTCGAACAACCCTTTCACAGGGGTCGCCTAAGACATCGGAAAACACATATTGAATATATAATTACATATTGTTTTGTGATTAATCACTGCTTTAATTATGTTCAATTTGTAACAATGAAAATACATCCTGCATATCAGATATTTACATTACGATTCATAACAGTAGCAAAATTACAGTTATGAAGTAGCAACGAAAATAATTTTATGGTTGGGGGGGTCACCACAACATGAGGAACTGTATTAAAGGGTCGCGGCATTAGGAAGGTTGAGAACCACTGTCTTAGGGGAAGATGGAAGATTGCAGGAAGTGGTAGCTGTCCGTGGTGCTGACCACAGTGCCTGAGACCTATTCAGGTCTGATCTAGTTTCCAGCAATCAGGCCTTATGGAGGCGTGGAGCTAACATTTATTGCACACCCACTATGCACCAGGCCATGATCTGAGTGAGACCTGGTTCATGTTTTGTTATGCACTGAATGTTGAAATCCTAACCCCCATTGTGATGGTAGTAGGAGACAGGGCCTTTGGGAAGTAATTAGATCATGAGAGTGGAGGCCTGATGAATAGAATTTGTGCCCTTTATTGGAAGTGAACTTTCTACCTGTTCTTCCTGTATAATTCCCAATGGATGGTAACCTTGCTGGTGACTTATGACCAGCAACTTTTAAAAATTATTTGCCTACGTTTTCAGCATCAGCCATAGTTTTCTTCATGCCATGAGGATACTCAGGGAGAGGAAAAGGATGGGGGATGGAAAGCACCACAGACAGAGGGAAGAGTCACTGCCAAAGCAAAGGCTTGTCTCAGTGGAGCAAGAATCGTATCAGGTATATACAGACAGACCCTGAGGCCACCATGACAGCAACGAGCAGGAGACCCAGCTGTGAGACCATTAGCCGTCTTTACCAGGCTACTCATCAACACACTCCACCATGAAGTCCAGCACAGGGGCCAGGTTAGCCCCAAACCCAGCAGCACAGGAACAACCAGGTGAGAGCACAGCATCCAACCATCAGAGGTCACACAGAGGAGTTACAGCCAGACACTGATTTCCCTGCACCCCAAAACAGAACCATTCAAAATGCCCTCCAAAGTGACAGGAAGACCACATTTCCTACCTCGGCGTTGCTGGCAGCCAGGCTTGCTGAAACCTGCAAGTTAAAGAAAACAAAGACATTAGGATTGATTCAACAAGAAGGTAATTGGATTAATTGTCTTTTTAAAGGAACTGGCATCAATAATTTGTTTTGACCTGAGGGGACAATGGGTCACACACACACACACACACACACACACACACACACACACACGGCACTTTTGCTTCTACCAGGCAGAGCAACAAGATTTGTTTTTCCGGTCCTGTGTTTAAGGTGAAGAGGATAATTAATATTTTTAACACATTATAACAATCTTGCCAGGAAAAAAAAAGGGGAGGGCCGTGTGCAGTGCCCATGCACTGATCATGATTAAGTGAACACTGAGAAAGCAAAAGCATTGAAGGCATTTTTGAGGGTTTCTTTTTCCTTAAAATTTTTTTGTTTTTGTTGATCTTCACCAGAGGATATTTTTTCCATTGATTTTTAGAGAGAGTGGAATGGAGGGAGGGATGGAGAGAGAGAAACATTGATGTGAGAGAGACACATCAATTGGTTGCTTCCTGCAGGTGTCCCACCCAGGGTCAGGGATTGAACCTGCAAGCCAGGTATGTGCCCTTGATGGGGAATCAAACCTGTGACTTTTTGGTGTGAGGGCTGATGCTCTAACCACTGAGAACACTGGCCAGAACTTCCCTTAAAGTTTTGAGTCAGTGTTATGAGAAGGTAGAACTACTAAGTACAGCAACAACAGCCTTCTTTTTTTTTCACAATGTGCACAATTTCGTGCAACCGAGACTGGTGCCTGACAATGTGCCAAATTTTAACATTTATTGTCTCATTTAATCCCTGGAACAACTTTTATTACTCCTACTTCATTGGTGGCAACATTGGCTTAGACCATTTAAATCATTTCACAAAGCCCAGAAAGTTATTCACTAGAGGAAATTAGTCTTAAGCCCAAGATAAAGACATGTAGACTCAGACTTGTATTCATGGCCCATTCTGTATCAAAGGATTTGCTGTGGACACCGTCCACCATTGCTCACATGTGCTTTAGAAGGGATCTCCTGGCTGGGGCAGATAACTTCTTGCCTTGCAACTTCCTTATACCTGGGGTTGACCTTGCCAACTTCAGTCATATATTCCTACCAGACCACTATACATTGAATTGTCCCTCCCTCATAATTTATGAAACTCTGATCCCATATGTGGTGGTATTTAGAGACGGGACCCTTGGGAGGTAATTAGGTTTAGAGAAGCTCATAGGGTAGGGCCCTCATGGTGGGATTATTGTTCTATCAGAAGAGACACCAAAGAGTGCTTCCTTTGCCTCCAGTTCCTCCCTCTCTTCCCCTGAGTGCACTGAGGAAAGGTCATATGAGGACACAGAAGGGAGGAGGCCACCCACAACCAAGGAGAGGGCTCTCACCAACACCCACCCTGCTGGCTCCTTGATTTGGACTTCCGGTCTCCAGAACTGTGAGAAATAAATTCCTATTGTCTAATTGGCCCAGTCTCTGGTGCTCTGTCATGGCAGCCCAAGCTGATGGAGACAGGGACCAGTACACGCTCACAGCTCATAGCGGTGTATGCAGCAGACGCCCTAGGAAGGTATGGTTTCCCGGGTTAGCCAATCTGTACTTCACACTGGCCCCCCTCTCAGCACCACCTCTCTCGGTTCACTTCAAGGTCTCAGACCAGCCCTCACCCAAGCCATTAGCCCCAGAGGCAGCTCAGATGGAGCCTGCTGCCCACGGGGCAGCTTTCATGCACCATTAGCTTCCTAAACAGTAGGCCAGCCTTCAGACTGACCTTGGCCAAGAAAGTCCATTAGCTATGGCCCGAGGCTTGCCAAGCCATGAATCCAGGAGCCAGGCTGGAGAAACACTCCAGAGTGTGATGAATGTCAGGGTCCTGAGCCTGTCCCCCTCCCTCTCTCCTCTGCAGCCCATTCAGAGCTGGGATTGGGAGAGCAAGCAGCTGATTCCCAAGCAATCGTTTGTGTGTGAGATTTCCCTGCTGACAACTAAAAGGAACATGGGATGGACAGTGTGATATTCAGCAGCTACAAGTCATAAGCAGGAGGCTCTCCCTGTTTCCAGGGCACCTGTGCAACAGTTCTCCACAGACCTCTCTGATTTCCTCCACTTCATAATCTTATGCATGTCTCCTAACTGCATTTTCAGTTGTGTGACCTCTTTCATTCCCCCCTATTAAGCAAGCCCAGGTGTTGCATATACCTTAGGTAAATGAAAACAGAGAGTCATGGATGTGGCTATTCATTGCAGCAATACCTTTCTAAAAAATTTTTTAATATGTACAGAATCAAATAATAGCTAGAAAACAGGGTTTGAACTCTCAAATGCCTACAGGGACTAGAAAAGTAATAAAAGTGTATAAAGCAGGCTGCCTATAAGATAGTAGGGGAGGTTGGGGCCTGTGTGCAAGTTCGGTTGTTTACTCCACCTAAAACCATTTGCATTCAGTTTATAATAGGCAACATGTAGTTCTAGGCAAACAAAACACATGTTAGTCCAGATGTGGCTGTTGGATTTCCAGTTTATGATCCTCTAAGTCAGTGGTTCTCAACCTTGGCTGCGCATTAGAATCACCTGGGAATCTTTTTAAAATCCTGATTTCTGGGCCTGATCTTGGAGGATGAGGCCCAGAAATCAGGATTTAAAAAAAGATTCCCAGGTGATTCTACTGTGCAGCCAAGGTTGAGAACCACTGCTCTAAGTCAAACAGATTATGATACATCATATTATAAATATTACGCAGCAGTTTGAATGAATGGAGTAGATCCTAACGTTTTGACATGAAAAAATTCTACAACACATACTGTTAATGAAAACATATAGATCAGTACACACATATCAATTGGTTGTCTTTAGTATGCTCTCCAACTGGGGATCAAACTGCAACCCCAGTAGGTGCACTGACCGGGAATCGAATCTGCAATATTTTGGGTGCATGGGACAGCACTCAGCCAACGGAGCCACACTGGCTGGGCAATACAAGTCTTGAGAAACTTTCTCTTTCTCTGAATTATTTGAATTTTTCATTGAGGATGTATCCATGTATTATTTTTCAAATTGAACATATATTCAAAATAAGATATAAATAAAGCTATACATGTCCTCAATATTGGCCTTTTCTCATTCAAGAAGAGACTGAAAACAACTTTCTTACCCACTCACATCTGTATATATAGAGACACAGAGTAGAAGATGACACAGAGCATATGGTACAATAGGGAGCGGTAAGGCTTGTGACCAATGGGAGATATATCATATTTCATTTATGGTTTATAGTTCTACATATTAGATATTTATATGAAAAGCAAGTAGTGAGAGTTACTGGGCCCTCCATATACTGCATCCAGGGTTGATTGTATAGTCATGATTATGTTAGATCCACTTCCAATAAGCTCAGGGCTGGTTTAGGAATGTGGCACTTACGGAGTTCAGGCCTGTCTGTGATCCACCGTGGCATCTGAGGCAGCCAGAATGGACTGTGGAGGCAGCTGGAGGAGTGAGGGCTCTTTAAGGCCTGCAGGTGCCAGGCTAAGGTGTTTGGCTTTTATCTTGTCAGCAGCAGCAGCCATCAGAGGGCCTCCAGCGGGGGCTGACATGATTAGAGCCACGTTTGAGGTGGCCGTTCTGTGGAACAGTGCAAGGCACACGGGGATGCAGGAAACTCCTGGCAGGACGTCCCTTAATGCTTTGTGCCAGTGGTTTCCCTTCCCTTTAATCATTTCCTTCCTCTTCACTAGGTTTGTTTGAAATTGCAAAGGCCAACATTAAGGGTTTCCTCCTCGCTTGTGCTAGGAAGTTGGTGTGTGTGGCTCAGCGCCACCTCGCCTGCCACTTTTTCAGATGGGGAAACTGAGCTTTCTTCTCCTGAGGCCACACTAGGGAGGGTCAGAGACAGAGCCTAAACCCAGGTCAGACTCCAAAACTGCCTTCAAAGCCTACCCAGGGATTTTGCTCACACAATGGAGAGATGGTTTCCCTCCTGGGACTTCCCACAAGTTAATAGATATCAGGACAGCGTTCATTGCTAGAGGGGCAGCTACTGCTCAAGCAAACCCACTCAGTCTCCTCTACACCTGTGGCTGAGATGCTCAAATACCATCTGGGCTCAGTTGCTCCAAACTCTCCAATCTTCTGTGCTGAGCATGTTGAGGTACAACTCTCTTACGTTTGCAAAGGTAGGGGTCAACAGGTCTTTTTTGTTTGCATGAGATAGAAACAACTCAAAATGGCTTAAGGACACAATTGAATTTTATTAGCTCATTCAACTGATCGAGCTCACTTTAGATGGATCCAGATAAGGATCAAATCTTACTTCTCTGATAAGTAGAAGATCTGGGAATGGAGCCCAGGTCTCTATGATTAGATGCAGCTCTCTGCAAGGCCCAGCAGCACTCCCATGCAAAAATCCAGGAACACAGTAATTATTCTTTGTTTCCTGGCTGGATTTTACCCCATTCCGATCTCATTGAGTGATGACCATTCTCTGCCTTCCTCTCCTCTCATCCTCTCCCCTCCTCCATGATTCAAGGCAGGGTGTTCCCCTGGCTGTGCTGACGATGCCACAGTGCCCTGCCAGGCAGAAGATGGAGTAATCATATTCCTCCTCACACACTACCCTGTTGGGCCTTCAGATTTGTGTCCACATCCACAAATGGCACCGCTGTTATTTTCTGTCATTGTCACCTAAATTCCAAGTAGAGTGGCCTGTGAGGATGCTATTCTTGAGTCTGGGAAATTGCTTCTATGGATAGTTTTTCAAATGAAAGCGTTAAATCTTCATGCTCTGTAGTCAATCACATGGCTTTTGCCAGGCTTCCAGGTTGTCTTGGGGTTAGATGAGTTTTTTATAAAAGGTCCAACCCAGAACAGCACCAACATGGAGTATTGCTCTTTCTGCCCATCCTCCTTCCATCTTGCCTACCTTCTCAGAGATGTGAGGACATCTCAGGAGGATGCAGAGCTTCCCTGTTACCCGCAGGCACGTGAATCCCAGTCTAGCTGAGTGTGAAACTTCAG